ATTTAATATTAACCATCTCTGATAGATATTTGATACTTTTGAGTCTATGCTATTTTGTTATGAATCGAAATTTTATAATTCGATCTAATTAGTGGATAAGGTAATTTAGGAATAATGTAATAGTTTAATATATAAATTTGTTCATTGTAGCTCATTTACTTATCTAATAAAAATTAATATATGGGAGATCAATGAAAGTTATTCATAATAAGAAAGTGATTACGAATAGTTTTAAAAGTTATTCTCAAACTCCTTACTATTTCAGTACATTGTGTATGTTTATGGGTGTATGTATATGTCATAGATTTTTGTTGTTGCTATGACACTGATACCAGTAATTCAGATGATCTTCAGATGATATTTAGTGGATTCACTTTCTTCTTACACAATGAATTTCATACTCTTCATATAACCATCTAATAAGTTTTTATGTAAATTGTACATATACAGATTGCTGTAATTACATTTCTCTTGGAATAGATCATCCACAGAAACTGAATATTTATAAATAGGGATATTTTATAAAGTGCATCAACTAACCTGTACTCTTAATTTCTATCATATTCTGTGTGTTCAATTACTGTTTATTCACATTTTTCATTATAATAACGTTTCAGCCTTTGTCATAATTGGCTCGAGTATTTAGTAGCAATGACTGATAAGTACTCTGTTTTCTTTTTTGTCACTAATGTATATCTGTACTACACTATTCAGGTTTTATCCTACGCTACGTCTTTTAAACTGTCACTGATTTCAGTATGTGTTTCTTTTTCACTTGAAATTTATTAGACTCATAATCAATAAATTTACTTAAAAATCTTGAAATCTGGGATTACGATTATTATCCTATTAATACTTCGGGATTAAAAGAGATTTCGCCTTGTCCATCAAGCGACGAGTATTATCAATTGTTTCATGCCTTTCATAGTTGTAAAATATATGAATCTCATCATTCGTAGTCATGTAAAAGTTTCAGAAAACCCAGTTATCATTACTTTTGAATCACTTTTTACAGATAGTGAGATTATTTCATCAGAAGTAATGAGATTATATCTCAAAATATAGACATAATTTAAACATATTAATTAGATAACTAATCAGTTTATTATTTGCTGGGCTTTCCATATAGTCTACATTATTACATGAAGGTATAATATTTGAATTATGGAATACCTATTTGTCATCCTTTTACGTACCCGAACTAGTGATAGGGAGTGAAGTAGTTGAGTGTGTCGACCGCTTCACTTATGTTGGAAGTCTCATCAGCCCTTGCGGTCTGGTGTGTGACGAAATCTCAGCACGGATACAGAAGGCTCGACTAGCTTTTGCCAACTTGCGTCATTTATGGCGTAGGCGAGATATCCGTCTATCAACCAAAGGACGTGTTTACTGCGCAGCAGTTCGTTCCGTCCTACTTTATGGCAGTGAAACATGGCCGATAAGAGTAGATGATATTCGTAGGTTACTAGTATTCGATCATAGGTGTCTTCGAAACATTGCTCGTATATCATGGGACCATCGAGTAAGTAACACAGTTGTTAGGAAGCGGGTACTAGGTAAGGATGGCAAATCAATTGATGAAGTAGTGAAACTTCATCAGTTGAGATGGCTGGGACACGTGTTACGTATGCCCAACGACCGACTGCCTCGACGTGCTATGTTCAGTGGTATAGGAGTAGGTTGGAAGAAAGCTAGGGGCGGCCAAACCAAAACATGGCACAAGTCCATGAAGTCACTGACAAGTGAACTGAGTCATGTTGGTAGGTGTAGACTACCTGGTTGGGGACCGCGAGATGACAGCAACCGATGGTTAGAGACCCTGAATGACATGGCTCAAAATCGTTGGCAATGGCGCAGGTGCATCCACTCTCTGTGTTCTCCCAAACTAATCTTCTGAATTCTTCATGCCCCTTTTTCCCTCTTTCCAAATTTCTTTCACTGGATTATACTCTTTAAATAACATCTCCAAACCCTAATCTTCCCGATTACTGCTTATACTCTTGCTACCTCTACCACTACGGGATTTGAATCGACCACTGCATCTCTGTGCTAATGTGGTGTGGCAACTCGAACTGATGTACGTACGTACGAAGTTCTACGTTGTTACTGACTGACTGACTGACATCCTTTTACGTACAAGGAATTATTATTCATTGAGCTGGGATTATACCGACATTAAGAATTTCTTTACTGAAACGTGTTTACTTACGCTGTTTACCCTTACTTGTTAGATTTCTGAGAGTAGGTGAAAAGAAGCTGTAGACAGACTGGCATGAGATCAGTTTATGAAATCATTGACTACTAGCTCGAACCATATCACTAGGTTCAGACTTTCTGCTTGGGGGATACGCAATACATGTAGTCTATTTGGAGACGTTGAGTGATATAATACACAAAATTATTCACAGTGATGAAATTGGATTTTTTTCTCTATCTTTTGCTAAATCTGGTGATAATTGTTGTTCATCCTTCAATTTCATGTGTCCTTTTTGAGTTGTATTTTCTATGTTTACCTTCCCGTTACTGTTAAGACCAAGTCTTCTTGTGCGCTTTTCATCTTATTAATTTACTACTTACATATGCTGATGTGAGGTATGCTAACTTGGACCGATATAAATTCGTATCAAGTCCTATAACGTTAAACCGGTTGGCTATTTATTAGAATATTCGCATTTTGAATATGTTATCATGACCTGTATTTTCTCAAATAGTAATTATGTTAACAAGTTAAAATGTTTTCCACTTGACATGTTACTAACTAGCGCATTCTATTTAACCATTATTCGCTAAAGTTAATTCTTAGCGGTTTATCTACTAGATTCTCAACGGAATCCATTCTGACATCATCTCACTGTCCTAATGAGGTGTGACAATTTGGTGTGATGTACCAGGTTCTATGTTGTATATGACTGACTAACTATCTCGAGCACCCAAATCAACATAGTAACAATGAACTTAGACACATTAGGTAATAGCGTTGTTATTAAAGTATATTTTTTAGTTTCGTTTTCTCTAAGATAAATAGTTTTATTATGAATCTTTCATAATTCTTTCTTCATAATATCATCGTCTGATTTTACTAAAAATGCAAAGGCAAAACTTTGCAGCCATTATCTCATATGGCTGATAAAGAATGCGACACTACTGGATAAAAAATGCTAATGATCTTTATTCTTGTTGTGTCTACGTTGCCAATTACTTATAAATAATCTTATTTAGACCATCCCTGTGCGTGGGATCGTGAGCACGCACTACTGATGAGTTCCATACTAGAACGAAAGAGTTGTCCAGTGCTTCATGAGTTTTAATGGTGGTTTAGCTATGATTAGTTTTTGACTTAAAATATGAAAATTTTTCAATCTACCTAAGACCTTATACTAACGAATCATTATATTTAAAATCAAATGACCTAATCTATGACTCACTTCGTTACATCATTCGTTCCTCAATCATTAGGTAACAAACTATCATTCCAGTTCGTATATAATGACTTCGATAACTATGGTAGTCTTGTTAGTATTTGTGTAATAGATGTGGGTTTCATAATCTAGTTTCCTTGATCAAATGAAATTTAAAGGACAATTCATATTTAAAATTTTTACATGTTAACAGATATACAAGTAAGTTGCGTAATATTTATCATAGTTTTAATGTAATGTATTTACCAATTATAGGTTTATCTACTCAAATTTGTCTCACATACACACGTTTGTTCGAGGTTATCTATTTCAGTAAATATCGTCATTTCATTTTATTTGTGTTTGGGCTGTGATACTGTCCGGTTGCCCAAACAGAGGTTATCCGATGTCACTACTTTAACTACCCGGTTTCCCTTACTGAAGTTAGTACAAAAGAAGTAGAATTTTAAGGACTGTCACTTATTATTATAAGCTAAGTGGTTTGATTATTTGGTTACCACTACTCTACTGTGTGGGTTGTTAATATTAACTGATACACTTAAGTTCAGTGTTTGATATTTATGGTTAGTTGATAAAAATTCTTGTGTCATTCGTCATCATGGAGTGTATAACAATACCGTCCCATTCATTGATATTAACTGTAGGAGGTTTCATTACGGAAAATCTATCAGAGGTCTTGATTAGAATACCTAGCATGTTAGATCCTTTAATGATATTCCCATAACTTTCGGATTGCCTTTTTTCCTAAGGGCGATGGCACAGTGGATAATGCTATTTTTGTGTGCTAGGTTCGGAGTCGATTGTATGCTCAATGTATGCACTACTTATTATTGTTCCAATCCAAAGTTTGAACCTCACTTCATTCATTTCAATTTGGACAGTAGGGTAATACTATTGTCTCACACATATTGTCTTGTGACTCAATGCCGTGTACATAAACCTGTACTTAATATGTGTCACATAGTCATGGTATTTCAAATATCCTTTAGTGAATAATCTCTTCGCAAATAAAATTTGAACTCAGAATCTTTCATGCGTTTTACAATTTTGTTATTATAAATATCATTAGTCTTTTCTCGATTTAATATGTTTTACATGTTTATTTAAATCTTGAATGAGTAAAAGTCATTCAAATTTATCTTTACTTTAAAAATGATCTCAACTGAGAAATAGATTTTCATGAATACATTCAACCAGTGGTATATGATTTTATTTGGTTATCTTGATTTCTGTCATTTAATTTGATTGACCGACTTGTTAAGTAATGACAAAGTTTAGGGTTAAGATTTTTATCGTTGAACGTGTAGCACATCTGCTTTTCAATGTTTAATATGTATTCAATATCTAGCATTTTTCTGTTCATTTAGTGAGTGAATGCTGCACATGAAATCATAATTTTCACTGATGATTTCATCTTAAGCTGTTACCTTCATTGGATTCGCTGTTTTTCATTTGAAAATTTGAGATGTGCTACAGTGTCATGTTTATAGAAGGTATATATAGATTACTTTAGATTATTGAAATAAAATCACTAGTGAAAACTACATTCTTATAAGCAGTACTGACCCATTGAATGAATGGGGAAAATACTACAGAACATTAGATATTGCATTTTTATTAAACAGTGAAAAAGTATGATTATCCTCACACCAATGTAATCCTGAAAAGTCAGTGTTTAATTGTTTATTATAAATTATAACCTTCTAGATATCAGTGTATATATTTTGATATAAAAAAAGCGACACCAAGGTCTAAAACATAGTTTACATCTAATGAATAATAATAGGCACTAATAACCTATATTATTTACCTAAAATCATCTTTATCAGTAATGAAACAATCAGTTTATGATCACCTAAGTCTTACATCATTCTCCCCATTCTTAGTTTCATTTTATCATTTATCACCCGTTATTCTCAAGTGTGTATACAGAGTTCATTGTGGTCACTGTTATTGCGTCATTTCGATCATTATCTACATCGTAAACACCATTCATCATTATATCATTATTATTTATTCTTGTCTAAAGTTTTTGTGTCTATCACCTACCATGAAACATTCAATTATTAGTAGTATATATATATATTTCCTTTATTTAATGTTCATTATTTACTTATGCCTCTGTTATCATCATCGTCATCATCATCTTCATTCTCATCAACAAAAAGGACTATCAGAATTTTGCTTCTTTTATTTTTATCATCCTTCCCATTTGTTTGATTGTCTGTTTGATGATGTTTGATTATGATCGGGATATGAATGTTGATATCTAATTGAACGTGGTGGCTGGCTCGCGTACTAATTATTGTTTGATTTGTTCATTGTGTGTCTGTTCTTGTTGTGTATTATCGCTTGCATGTTTGTATGTACTGATTTGTATTTAAATTGTTGAATGTATTTGTGTGTGTATGTGTTTGTTCATGAATGAATGCTTGTACATATGTCCATGGTCCACTACTCTCAGGTACAACAGAACGTGTTTGCCTAATTATTGGATCGTTCGATGGTGTCATTACTGTACATAATTATATAATGGATCGAATCATGGAAAAACCTGATCCTAATCCAAATACAACTGGAGAAGGCAGACTGAATGTTGAACGTCATAAGCAGGTAGGATTTTTTATTTGTTATGTTGTCGTTTCCTTCTGTTTACTGTGTTATCGATTCATACATAATCATATTATCGTTCACACTGTAGTTCAACTAAATTACTTGTGATCAGTTTTTATTGTCAATATTTTCCTTAAAAATATTCTTTCTTTTTCCAATATTTTACTTTTTGTTTTAATTTTTAAAAATTTGATATACAGGTGAAAATTCTTGTACCGAATAGTACAGCTGGTATGGTTATAGGGAAAGGTGGATCATATATTCAAGAGATCAAAGAGAAAACTGGTGCATATGTGCAAATTTCACAAAAATCTCGTGAATTCAATCTCTTAGAACGATGCATTGTTGTTGCCGGTAAGTTATTCATGATGTATTGGAAGAAGATTAAATTATTGGAAACTTCTGGGAATTATTTATTGGTCATTATCATATATAGTCAACTATACAGAAACAACACAATGATCTGATGGGATAAGGAGACGAAATTATTTAGGTCAATATTTTTTGTATCGATTCATTATGAATTTCCGCCAGGGTGATAGGTGTGAACTTCGTTCACCTTGACATTCACATTAGATCCTTCTGGTTTATCAACATTGTTATCCAAGTTTTTAAGGACTCCCACCTCTTCCAGAGCTTTGTCATCAAGTGTAATTTGGTTGATGGTTCGCTAACTAAAAATTCCCAATTACTTTTCCTTTTTTTCAACAGAAAGTCTTTGTTATACCCGATTTGATTTTCCCAATTGTTGTACCAATTGGTTTTAGTGTTACACTGATTTTACAGTGCCTTATTACAAGTCATAAGCATATAGAGTTGATTGCATTTTAATACATTAGTTCCTCGTACTTATTTTTCTCTCCAGAAAAACGTTTCTGAAACTCATTTCTAATCTCTTCTTTAATGCATTTACATAGCATCGTATGAAACCTTATTCAAAGTTTTCTTCATATTTGAGAAGTGCATAGTACTGTTCAGGCACTTCGTTATACTCTGTGATGGGAATCTTAGGATTTAACCATCTACGCATAACATTATATAGTTGCTAACATTTTCAAATAAAATCATCCCCATATAAGACATACTTACCCCTCGTGAAAGAGGATAGGCCACCCACCAGTATGATCCATCCAAATCTCTCCTGGACAATTCTCTCCAGTTGCTATTCATCCTTTCATGTCTGCTTCCAATTCCCGACGTAGTGTGTTCTTTGGCCCTCCACTTTTCTGTTGCCCTTCAGGATTCTAAGTTAGCACTCGCCTTGTGATCCAATTTGGGGATTTCTGTAGTGTATGTTCTATCCACTTCCAACTTCGTTCCCTAATTTCCTCTTCAGATGGAACCTGGTTTGTTCTCTTCCCCAATATCCTGTTGCTGATAGTTACCGGCCAACGAACATTGAGTATCTTGAGTAAACGGTCAGCTATAAGTACTTGTACATTTTCGATTATGGTTGTAGTTGTAGTAGTAGTAGAAAACAACTTTGCTAAACAACTCTAACCACAGAAGATATACTTATTAATAATAAAATGTCATAATTCTCATTATTAAAAACAAATTTGGACTTCAATAAAAATTTCAAGTTAATAATTGTTATTTTAATGTTGTTATTTTAGGTGAATTAGATCAAGCACGCGCTGCTGTTCATTTAATTTTAAATGTTATTGCTACAGATCCACAATCAGCTAGTTGTCCAAATCTTTCATATCATGATATTCAAGGACCAGTAGCTAGTGTTTATCCAACTGGTTCACCATATGCAACACCGATTATTCCTTATTTAACAGGTTCGACTATTTTATCTAATCCATCAATTGATACAAATTCTGCTTCTGCTACAGCAGCAGCGGCCGCTGCCGCTGCAGCGGCAACTATGATGGCAGCAGCTGTAGCATTTACACCTGGTCCATCATCACAACCAACCACATCATCATTTATTTCTTCACCAGGTGGTAGTACTACATTTGGATTTTTTCCACCGAATTTTCAATCAACACCAGATATTGCAACAATTGCAGCGTTAACATCAAATCCTGCAGCTACTGGTGGATCAATCGTTTTGCCGTCTATACTGCCTAACACTGGTAATGATAGAACTCTATGTAGTAATTTGTCAGGAGATTTATTTTCACAAACTGTTGGTGTGGGTGGTAGTAGTTCACCATGGTCAAATATTTCAGGACGAACTGGATTCGATGTAATAGTGCCTGATCTTAATGCTGCTTCTGCATTAACAACAGTATCAGTTGCACAAGAACCTTTAACTGGATCTTTTATATCACCTAAACCACAAGATTCTCAGTCAAGTCGTTCTGCATTATCGCCTCCAGTATACTTTCCTTCATCTTCATTTATTCCAGGTAGGGATTGGGTTGATTAGTGTGTGGAAGTTTCACTGTTAGTGATGCTTATTGTTTTATGTACTTAATATATTGTCATTTATAAAACCACAGATTGATGTCGTCTAGTTTTCCTTCTTAAAACAATAAAAATAGTTTCATTCGCTTAAATTTAAACTCTAGTTCCAAAGTTAAATTTTATTGTGTTTAGCATCCAAACATTAAACATCTTGGTCTTTATGTTTTGTGAATGTTAGCTATGTCTGTAAGTAAAACGTGAACTGTTCTTTTGGTAAGATACATTGCACTGAACTACATGATTATAATGCTTATTATTGTACGTGAAGTCATAAGTGATTCTCAGTCGTATGACTTTCACGTTTTGTGTTATACTGTTGATCTTACTTTAAATAACTGAGTGTTATTGTATGGTCACTGCACGTCAAGTTGTTCGTGACTTGAACAACCGTCTGACAAAATACCGACTGTTTTAGATCCTAAATCACTATGGAATCATCGCTTCACTAAAGTCTCAATATTCACCCTGTTGATTAGTACCAAACAACACAAAAAGCCGTAATTCTTCGAGAGGTGATGGGTTGCTACAATGCAAATAACATTAGTAACACTATTGTTGCTTATAATTTCAATTAACTTAGAATAGTTAAGCTATTTGATTTGTCGCTGCTATTTGGATGGGTTATTTTTATATTATCAATTTTAACTTCAATAATTTTTTACATAAACCCATGGAAATTAGTTGACATAGAATAGATTATCATCAACATATGCAAACACCACCTTATGGGGAACAAAGCAACAATGTTGATTATGTTTAATAGAATAATTATGTTTATTTTTACTAAAGTTTTTTCATAGAGCATTTGTTTAATTTACTAGCCGTGTGCTCTATCACAAATCTTTTGGTGCATAAAATGTAGTACAATATATTCAACCTTTGAGTCGATGACATTATAAACTGCTGGAACTTTCCTAAATAGGTTGGAGCAATTTTTGATACTTCCTATTTTTGAATTTACAGTTGATTGACCACTAAATAGTGACCAGTGTCACTTTTATTTACTACATTAATATGGACTGAATCCTATCGATCGATTAGTAATATGGTCCACAGATTAGTTGATTTAACGTCGCGTGATTTATGTTTCTATATAGTCCAAATTGCATAGCGGTTACGTTGCAAACAATAGAACTAGACGATATCTAGTTTCAAATCTCACTTCCTTCATGATTGTGGATGTATACCTTAGTGAAGAAAACAATGTCAAGTAGGGCTTTCTGTTAACTTCCTCCAACTACATAACATTCCTTATCAAGGTAATAGTGGCTTAATGTATCTTTAAATTATCGGTTCATTGCATCTCACCTGGTTCGATTTTTATTACTAGTTCATTAGACATCAGTTCAATTATGTTTCTGAAATCTGAACACATGCTTCTATACGTGATTAGTGGTAAGTTAAATCTTTGAACAGTTCTCTAGCTTACATTAATTCTATTTACTCAATATTCCTATTCATAGATATTCATTAATTATCATATTTTATAATAAATTTTTAGCACCACTTCGAATGTCTCCTACAGCTTTATTTGGTTATCCAACAATTGGTTATGGAAATCCTCCACCTGTACAACATAGTCATTTAACATCAACTCGAGGTATACAACCAATACCTTTAACTGAAACTAGTTCATCATCAATTTGCAGCAATTCATCAAATTTACCATCATTATTTACATCACCAACTGGATTAACTGCTAATATTGCTACATTAGCTGCTCTTTCCGCTGCGATTACAGTATCTGGTGTACCAACTGTAACAAATACAATTACAACAAATGTAACAATTAATTGTACAAAATCTTTACCAATTCTTTCAAATCCTAATCCACTTGGAACTGGTTCAACTGGTGCTTTATTTAATTTATTACCTTGTTCTCAGTTATCATCATTTAATGTTACACCAATTGTACCACATGTAGTTGTATCGAATGATTCAATTACAATGTCAATACCTAATTTATCATCAAATCCATTTTTATTATCACTTACAGAAAGTGATATAAATCAACCTAATATACAACAACAATCATCTTTAGCTCCAAGTATAAATTCATCGGCACAAGTTACCGCTTTACCATCTTCATCAACATTAATTGGATTTCATGGATTACAATATAATTCAGGATCAAATATCATTACACCTATGGGAAATTATGTTGCATACAGACGTGTTATATCTGTAGGTTTTGAAAAAAAAAAACCTCTTGGTATTTATTATTATTTGAAATGTTATGTCGACTTATTTACTGTGTTAAATAAATGTCTGGCTTTTTTATTTAGTCAAGATTATGTCATTCATTATATATACTGTTCTGATAATTCGATTGTATTTGATGTTGGTTTCATTATAAATTATCACAATATGTTGTATTTTAGTCATTCCATATCAAATTGTTAACCTTGACACTTAGTACTAGCAATTATGCACGGCTTTTCATCAGGTTGGAAAATCCTAGTGACAAATATTGGCGGTTTTAAGTGTGTGATAACAGAAGGAATATTGTAGAAATTGGGACCGGTTTTTCAAACTATTATTAATTATAATTTCGATATATAACTACTGAGTAAAAAGATTACTCATGATTTACTATTTCTAATTTATCACAAGTCTTTTACTCACTGTCTCCTCTATTCACAACCACTTTTGACTTATTTATGTATAATTATTATTTTATGGTATGATGCGGTATAGTGTGTCTGCGCGTAAACTATTTCTGTTTGTAATATAAATATAGTAGAGACTGATTACTACTTCTAGACTCAAGGCAGAGCATAGAAAGAAGCTAGCAAACAGTAGACCAATAGAAATCTAGCTGTCGGTTCAAGATCAGTAGTGTTGGTTGGACATGTAATTGGTCAGTATGGGGACACTGGGCTGTCGATGAAATAGTTTACACGAAATATACTGAATTCTAACTCTGATTGGTGGCTTGGCACGTGACATTGGTCAGGGGTAGTAGAACATGAGAAGTTCAGATAAGTATGTTGATTATCGGCTTTATACTTGATAATTTCGATTAAAAACCGGTTCCAACTTCTACAATATTCGTGGAGTCATAACAAAACTATTTTCCGTGATCTTCAAAATGTATTCTGGAACTTTATTGTTTTATAAAAGGTTTTACGCGTTAAAAATACATGTAGCATTACAAACATGCTCAAAGTCTCTTGGGTTTTACGTAGCAATAAGAAGTCTTAAAATGGGGTGGAACACATGGAGAAAGATTTCTGAATCTCATCTTCTTTATTAACCTATTTGTACGGAAATGTTTACAATCCATAATTATTATTATTATTACTCACGATGATTGTATATGCGTACAATTAGTGCATTTCTGTTTAATCTTTAAATATTTCAGGTTCCAGAAAGTGTAATCAATATAATCCTTGGTCATCAAGGTCGATCTATTATGGATTTACAATTATTTACTGGTACTGCCATACAAATATCTCAGAAAAGCACTTATTTATCTGGTACACAATATCGTACTGTCACAATAATTGGACCACAAGTCAATGTACAATCAGCAGCTGATGTAATTGAGCATATAGCAATTATTGAGCATATGAAACGAGAATCTGGTTCATATCAACAACATTCATTGTCGTTATCACTTCCTGGTAATGGTAGTAGTACTAGCACTGTTGGGCGTCCATGTAATGTTAGTGGCGGTCAACTAAATTCGGATTATTTTATACACTCTGGAATATCACATCCATTCACATCATCGACATCATTTTCATCATCTTGCATTAAAGGAAATTATCCAGAATGTCAGTCAACATGTTCAGCATCGAATACTGGTATATCATGTCCGATAAGTATGATTAGCTCACTTCCTTTGACTACTTGTATAACTACTGTTAATACTGCCAATAGTACTAGTGGTAGTAATATTATTATTACTGGTTTGTCTTTTCCGTCATCGTCTTGTGATACTGCTGCTTCTGCTTCAAGAAGATCTGGAGGAGGGAGTGCTGGTGTTAGTGGTTCTGGCGATTCACTGTCTTTTCAAAGTTCAATCGACTCAGTATCTATGTCTGTAACTAAACGTGATGAAACAAAGTAGTTTATTAATAATAATACTATCGAATCATTAGAACTTAACAAAATAGTTCTATCACGATTAACACTACTTATAATCGTAGTAGTAGTAATTACTGTTGTAGAGTATTAGAAGTAGTTTGTTTTTTTTAAAGAATAACAGTTAACACCGGTGGAATGTTAATAACATAAAGCTAGACGATCCGAATTGAATTGATAAACTAAATCACACACACACACACAATTTATATGGTTTCAGCTTTACACTCTATTCGTCTTTCAATGAACACAAAAAGAAAACCATTTGATTTTATTTGTTTATCTATTTATTTATGTAGTAAACTTATTTTTCTGTTTCACTTTTTTTTGTGTGTGCATATATATATATATATGTGTATTATGTAATTTTATTGATTTTAACTTCTATATAATTTGGTGTCACTTTGATTATTTAATGCCTTCGGTTCCTTCACTCCGCCCCCCTTCGTCCATAGTCTCTCTCTCTCTCTCTCTCTCTCTCTATATATATATATATATATATATATATATATATATATATATATATATACTCGTATATGTGCATAACCGAACGTTGTTTTGTATCCCATTTGTCTTGGGTGTTTCAGAGGTTACATTGATTATTGCATAATTTTTTCCTTGAGGTTAATAATTCTCTTAGCGCCATTTTATATACCTATGACTTTTACGGCCCTTCCAATTAAGATTATTTATTACTATCGTTATTATTTATTATTTTTGGTTTTACATGAGTAAAACTATTATCTATTATATATCGTTGAATATTGATTTTTTTTGTTTTGTTTTACTCATTCTCATTTTATTTATTTTTTTTGTCATTGACGGGCCGTTCGTTTTTTTTTGTTTGTTTTTTTTTGGAAAATTATTTTGCGGATGGGAAATTGTTTTTCTTTTTAACTGGATTATTCTATATTTATTTATCATTAAAAGATTTACCTTATCCTTATTTGAAGTTCCATGGTCTTTATGAATCCAATTCTTATTATTAGTCGGTCATAGATATCTGTGTTTGATGAGATAGTCGCCATGATATTTCTAAAACTATTGTCAATGTCATTTAGTGAACATTGACTGTTGTTTTTTAACTTAACCACCATAATACTACTGAACAATTGCTTTTCTTTCACATTCTTTTTTACATCTTTTAACCTTAGTTTTATGTTTTGTTTTCGAAATAAATCAATGTAGTTTTAAGATAACAATAACGTAATGTTCATTCGTTTCCCTTGATATGAATGCTAATTATATGTATACAAAAAAAGCAGAGATAACTGTCAATATTTGATTGTTATTCCTTAATTGGTTTTCTTTTCTCATTGTGTTCATGCTACTATGCATAAATTTGGAATACAGAATTGTTTATATATAGTTTATTAATAGTGACATTGTATATCAATAATTTCTTTATAGGACAACTATATTCAATATTTATCGTTACCAAATGATGTAATCTGTTTATTTAATGTTTAATATGTAGATAGATAAATCATCTGTCTTTTGTTGAGATTATTATTCTTGGTTTCATATTGTCAATTTCATCATATAAAATTATCCGGTGTATTTTTTTCCTTCTTTGTTATTTAGATTTGTTATCTTTTCTCTCTTTTTTTTCAGTGCTTTTTGTGATTTAATCTTTATGTATAAGTCTATTTGTATAGTGATTTGTTTATATTCGAGCATTGTCTGAAAGATCTTTATGTATTATGTAAGTGTACATGTGTATTTATGTTCACGTGGTAGTATATTTACTGCTGTCCAGTTGCTCGTTGTTGTTTTTTTAGATCAATAAATTTCATTTAATTGTTCTTAATTGTATACATGTACTGTGTTATGTAAATGGAACATTTGTATTCAGTGTAATTTCATTCTTACACCTGTGGTAAGCACAAGTCTATAGCTTCGAGAATAAAATCATTGTATTTTTTTACTGAATGTACTTTTACTACTGTTTATTTAGAAAGTAGTATAACTTGCTTTGCGAAAGTATTCTGTTTTTTTGTTCGTCTATTTAGTTCCCGTTGGTTTCGTGTTATCTTAATTTAGAAAGAAAATGAATATTCTTTTTGATTAACACAAATCTTATACAAAAATCACATCTCATAAACTATCTATTGATGGGAAGTAATACTGACTATATTTCTTGTCCCGGTTCTTTTGCATTGTTATTCTTTATATCAATATTTATGGTACTCCATAATCTGCTGTGAATTTATAAGTTTCTTTGTTTGTTTGTCTGTTTTTTCATTGTAAAATAGATGTCTACCTACTTTAAATTCTATTTCCATCATGAACTTTATGGAATAACTCCCCATCACTCATAGATTACAGAATTTTTTTTGTTGCAAACTATCTAAGAAACTTCCATTTCTTCTTTGTTTCTCTTAGACATTTTTTCTTATTTTAAAACTATTCTAATGATATTACAATATAATGGAAGAATGTTCCTTATCCTTATTACTCTGTTCAGTTGTTGTTTTTTTTAGAATTTGTTTTTATATAAATGATTTGTAGGGAATGAACGGTGTACTGAAATGTTTTGTTTTTTGTTGTCAATTCGAGTTCATTAATTCATCTTGATGTGAATAGATATTTCTTTATTGTGTAGTTGTATTAATGATCAATTGTTGTCATTATTATTATTATTATTGTCTTATACAAAATACAGATTATTGTTCTCGTTTGATAAACATTTTGTTGATATGGTGATTATTACTGATTGTGAATTATAGTCAATAATTGTCAATGATATTCAATGTCAGAGATGCTAATGTTTCTTTTTTATTTCTTCCATATATATATATATATATATATATATATATATATATATATATATATATATATGGTACTTTATTATCAGATTCATATCCAAAATAAATAGAGAAAAAAAAGTATGTTCACTTTACAATTATGTATTGTCTATCATGAAGAAAGTGTTTTAAAAGAAAATAGATTGTTATAATATAAACGCTTTTTTTTGTTTCTTCAGTCCAATAAATTACATTATGAGATGGTGGAGAAGATTTGTAGCTCAAGTGGATGATTTTGATGGAGTTTTGTTCTCTGAGCTGGATGGTTTGGTCGTTGAGTTTTCATCGTTCTTCTGAACAGCATCATCAGCACAAACTTCAGATAGAAGTGAAGTGTTCGGATTTTTCCATATGTGGTTCATAGCTTGTTCTGTGCACGTCGACGTTGATTAGTTCTTATTGACCTTAAATTTGTCATTGTTCACTTCTTTGTTTTGGTTGTGTTTCCCATTGGTTTGATTTTTGTTCCTATATTTGTGCATGATTTTCCTGATTGGTTGATAAGTTGGATCGATTTCAATATGTTTGTTGATTTCTGGTTGACCTGAGTGCCAGGCTTCTAAAAATTCTCTGGTGTTTTTGGAATTTCCTCTGTCCGAGATTTCCACATTTTTTCAATAGAATGAGTGTCCGCAGTTGTCCACATGTATTGATATAAGTGAAAAGTTCAAGTTTTTTCTAGGTTTTTAGTCACTCTGTGAAACGGCAAGCCACGTGACTACTTTTTTTCCAAATTATGGGGATGTAAGAAATAATAGAAGAGAAGGAATTAATTTTAAAATATAAAATAATGATAATTACTTCATTCCATATGTAATGTTTGTATGAATCTTCCCCATTGATTTTTAGGACTGTAATACAGCAGTCACTTTTGGCATATGTGCATCGTGTGTGGATGGCCACAATATTGCCAATGAGTCACAAGGACTTTGAGGAGAGATTGATGATATGGCTAGCAGTGAAATTAAGGACATGCGTTTCGTCCCACTTAGAACTTGTCAAATGGACATACATGCATCCTAGATTTGATGTCGGCGTTTGGAACAAAAGGTACTGAGTTCGAGCTCCGGAGTGAACATAAAATCTTAGATGCAACTACGTCCAGCTGATGGGTCCCAGATATGATTAAACGTGCGTCCTTGATTACACTGCTAGCCGTCATCCACTTCTGTCTAATATTGATATTACTTTAAGGCCATAGCAAAGATAACGATAAGACATTCTTCTTTTGTACGCACAGTTCTGGCTTCATCTCATTGGTGGCAAGAGCTTTTGTTGTTTTAAGTAGTTGGATACGAAGAAATCTTGGTAGAATTAATTGAATTCTATAAGCAACTTTAAAATTAATTTGTAGATCAGTGGAGTGGTTGGGATTAATTAAGTTTTCACAAGTGCAACTTCTAACTGCTTTGCTCTCATCCTTGTAGTACCACACTGGGATATGTCCTTGTATTTGAGACAGCAAGCGCTGACTACGGACAATGTACCTTGCTTCACAAGAGCAAGTGAACTGATAATTGATGACTGATCTAAGTTATTTGTTTTCTAGCTAAGATTGGACCCAGTGGAGACCTCATTACAGTTCCATCTATTTGAAAGTTAGCTGCTAAAATTATAATTTTATAACCATTTAAAGATTTCATTCGACGTGAATTCATTTAAAGTTATCAGTTTCAAGATGATGAAGTTTCATTCACTTAAAAATTTGTTTTAGTTTCAAAAACTGACAGGAATGTTCCTTCGGATCATTTTTCAAAAAATATTGTGACATTTCATTGTGTGTTTGTTCAAATATAAGAGTTGTCTCGTTTAATAAATGAAGTGGGTGGTACGACCACCAATATAAAAAGTATGTCATACCTCAGAAAGCTTGATTTGTAGAGAAGTTTCCAATATTTGAAAAGTTACAACTTAAATCACTCGATAGTGTATCGACCTGTCATTAAATCATAGTAATTGCAACTAATAATACATTCCCATAATATCCGATTTCAAAGTGGTGGTTTGTTTTAAACAGAGATGGATGTTGGCTAATAGTGAGATCAAGGACGGGTGTTTCGTCCTCTTTAGGACTTGTCAGAAGGATGTACCTGTCCAGTTAATAGTTACTGATTCGCTTAACGAGATGAATTTTAATCCTTTTGTTTTTGGTTGTATATGAAAAATACGTTAGGGCTTGAAGCGAACGGTACTGGGTGTGAATCTCGGAGAAAACATCAACTCTACGATGCAGGTACATTCATCTGAAGAGTTCTAAATAGAACGAAATGTGTGTCCTTCAGTCCACTGATAGCTACCATTCATCTCATTAAAATGCTTGTAACTCACTGACAACATTGAGGCAATCCACAAATATGCCAAAAGTGACTGCTCTATTGCAGTCCTATACATCAATGGGAAGAGTCAATACGAAAGAATAAATTTTTTGTTTGCATGCAAAAACTATATTATCTG